AAAGAGCACAGACAAAGCCTTAGTTTGTTTATATGAAGATATTTATTTTATTTGTGTAACTTATTTGTTTGATTTGGGGCGTGTTTTAAAATTTCAATGTATTTTTGTTATTTACATTTACATTATATTTAAATTTTGTCATTTAGCAGACGCTTTTGTCCAAAGCGATTTACAAATGAGGACAATAGAAGCAATCAAAACCGCAATAATATGCAAGTGCTATATTAGTATATTATTATAGTGTTATATTTCAATTTCACAAAGAAATGTGCAGCATTTTGTCCAAGCAATAATAAAAGGACACATTTAATTTATAATTTGTCTTAAATCATTTTGATTTAAGACAACTTTAAACACATTTTGTAAAAAAAAAAAAAAAAACAATAATCGTGAAATCAAAATCGTGAATCAAATCGAATCGTGAGGTGAGTGAATCGTTACATCCCTAACAATTAATAAAGCTGAAACAGTCACTTGATCTTATCAAATTGCAATTTTCAAATCAAAGACTGCTATTTAATTGAAGTAGAAGTTTCAGAGTAAAAAGTGGCACTGTGTTTATTTATACGTGTGCAGCTCATAATACCATATTTTCAAAACTGGAAATGGGAATGCATTTGGAAAATCAATGTGCACTAGGTTCACATTACTTTTTGTAAATTCACATAAGCAGAACTGCCAACATTTTTGTGGACAGACGTTTACAGCATGCCAATATTAAACCACAATAAAAGCTTGAAGATTTGACATGTTAAAAGCTTGAGAGTTTGAACATCTTAAAGTGAATAAGACAAATATTTGTATTGTAACTCGTGGTGTTAGCTTGTTCTTGTAAAGAGTGAACCCAAGTAAATGTGGGCAATCTGTCAAATTTATATCATTATCAACAATCTACTTCTCAAACAAATTGTAGAGATTATGAACAAACACCTTGACTGAACAATTTTTGTAGATGTGATAAAAATCAAGTTTATATTTCATTCATACATGGTTGTATTATACATGTAATAACTTAATTTTAATAACTTTTTCAGATATATACATATAACATGCACATACACACACCTATCTCTACATGAAAGTTACTACAGAAAATATAAGTTTTCTGTTTACTTGCATATCGTGTGACTATTAACTGACATCAGAAAAGTGTGGACATGCAAATGTGTCATTAAATTATTGAAATATTAACTTACAACGCTCAGAGGGGTACTTGTAAATAATTCGCCATAAACTAAATTATAATTTGGGAACCCTCTGTACGAACAAATGAAATCCTCTTTAACGCTCTACTGAAACTGTTTTCCAGTTGTGCTGAATGGACAGATCTTCACAATGGACCGTAAAGTGAGGGAACCAGATCCTAAAGGCAAGTAACACCTGGTTTAAGAACAGACAACTAAAGTAAATAAAAAAGACGGAATGGGATGCCTGTAAAGAGCTGCAACAAATAATTAACCGAATTGTAAATGCTCAGAGGCTAAAAGGAGAACTGAAACCTGTCAACGGGCCTCGCTTTTTTGTATTTGTTGTCATTTCAACAACTTCAAAATCAAACAATGAAAGTGAAGGAGACTTTTTTTTTTTAACTCTTTAGTACACTTCATGAAGAATTATGAAACTCAGCAAACCAAGTAGACTAAAAATACTGGCTGTGAAAACCTGGAGATCTACCAACCTACCTAGGCAGCACTTCTTTGCATTATAGGTGCCCTAAAACAAGTCTAGGTAGGTACTTCACTCAGCTATGAGACACAACCAAAGTAACACGCCTCTATGAGAGGATCCATGCGAGTCCCTGTTTAAACCTGCTGACCAAAATCAAACCACCCAGTTAGGATTAACAGTCAATTGAATGAGATTTGACTAATGCCCACTGACAAACATTGTAATACAGGCTGCATAATTATAGTGTGGAGCAAAAAAAAAAGCATATATATATGTATATATAAATAAAGATGGCATGTTCAAAAAGAAAATAACTGATTTAAACAAATTACTACATTTTTATTTTAGGCCTAAATGTAGAATGATTGGGTAACTGAAAAAATGTGCATTTCAGCTACTTGATTAACTTCCAAAGATGTATGTGTATGAATATCTTGCATGATCAACAGTCCAATAATGTATGTAACGTTACCGGTATTTGTAGATTGTACGCATGTATCTTTTAGTATATGCTGTGTTGTTAATATTTGTTTTGTAAACGTAACAGTTTAATAATGATAAAATCTGTGGGGACTTGGAGGTTAGATGGGATTTACGACAGACTGCGAGCAGTGTCTTGAACTGAAGTTACTCAGGCTGTTTTTGTTCTCCACAAGAACTGAACCAAAGGCACATGTTAGCCAGCTAACACTCCCATAAGGGGTTTAAATGGGATGCTGCGACAATTACTAGTGTAACGAAAGCCACCGACTTTGTTCAAGGTAAATTGCCTGTAATAAAACACTAAATAAATGGCGATAAAAGAGTGGAGAGCTTTGAATTAGCTGCTCCCCAGCGCTGCCGTTAGTTCTGATAAGGCTAATAACTAGCAAATCAACCTCGCAATGTAAATTACGACTAAACACAGTGAAGGAAACTTGATAAAAAAAAAAGAATAAACTTACCGGGGATGAAGTGGTTTCTCAACGGACAGAATGAAAACTTTAACGGCGACCCTGGAACGAACTTTGGCGAGCTGGAAAGCGCAGTGTGTCGGTGTCCCGTGAAGCTCGCGCAGCCGCGCGCTGGCCGCCACACTGCCGCGTGCAGCACATTGTAAACAAGTGTATCCTTCCGCAGTGCGAGTCCCAGGGACTACTTTACGGACCACGCGACTGGATTTTGCAAGTATACGACACCGTTTACAGCGAGCGTCGAATTATAAACGATAAACAAGATTAATTCGATAAATTTAGCGTGTGAGTGGTGTCAAAACCGAGTTTTTGAGGCGAGTTGGAGAGCAGAGTAGCTGTTGGGGCGTGACGTCACGTCCACCTGCTGAGGTTAGTGCGTCGTCGCGCAAGAAGCGAGGAATAAATACTGTTGCGCACTAGACTGGATATGATTCATTCCATGAGGCATTAATCAATAACATACTAAACACGAACTGGCGGGAAAGATATGTGAGGCAAATCTGGTGAAATGTGAATTAAATAAAAGGTATTGGAGATGCAGACAAAGTGAAGACATTACAAATTGCGTTTAAAGGGTGGGCAGCGCCACCTAGTGGTTACTACATTAGTATTTTATACATCATAAATGCATGTGCATTTGAAATGACAGACGCTCCTTTTTTGTTGTTGAAATAACTGCAGTAGTCATATTTCGAATTCGGCTTTGTATTTATTCAATATTTCAAAACCTATAAGCAAAAGAGAAAACAAATTATATAACTGATTAAATACATAGAGAGAAACAAAACATTCTGTGAGTGAAACCCTACTCTAAAAAATGCTGGGTTAAATACAACCCAGTGCTGGGTAAAATAGGGACAAACCCAGCAATAGGGCTGTTTTGACCCAGCGGTTGGGTTAAATGTTTAATCCAGCCTTCTGGGTAGTAACCCAACCGCTGGGTCAAAACAACTCAATTGCTGGGTTTGTCCCTATTTTACCCAGCACTAGGTTGTATTTAACCCAGCATTTTTAAGAGTGTAGGAGAACACAAGGCACCATTCCTGAAGATTGACAATCAGTTTGAGGTTTCTGATCCTGATTGGGAGCCTGGAAAACCGACACAAATGCTCCTAAAAATAACCTCAAAAATCCACATAAGTACTCGCATCTCATTGAGAGATCAGTGATGGGTAGGAAAAGGCTGAAATATGAAAGGTCAGCTGCATGTACAGGTTATTTTGCACATCCCTGCCCACATGAAGGACAAAATCATGATTGTGCTTTTTAGTGCATTAAGGGACCTGGTTCATGATGCAGGTCTTTTCGGGCTTGAAGTTTCAGACTTGACAAACCTAAACAAAACCGCCACACAGCAGAAAGTGAGCTAATGAAAAAGACATCAGTAAAAACGAACGTGAGAAACACTGGTTTAACTCTCTCTATACGAGTTCAGAAGGACGCAGACACGTGCAGATCACAGACGATGATGAATTATAACACAGGAAAACAGAAAGGAAATCTCTTTGGTACTGAAAAACTAAAAAAATATATGCTCTGATGATAACGCAGGTCGTTTTCAGTTTCGTAATTTGACAATATCTACACTAGCTCCCCTCGACTCACAAGTTTTCCAACATAAGCATCCATCCAAACACAATAAAACAAACTACAATCTGAAACAAGACACAGTGTGATTACAGCGAATAAAAAGGCAGTTAGAAGCAAATGCATAAGTTAAAAAAAAAATAGACTTAATGATTTCCGACAATGAAAATATGAAGCATTTGGACTATTTTGACAAAGACGAGGCACTAAGCGCCTACAGCAACACACAGAACAAAATGCAGGATATCAACCACGAGGCAGAATGCAAAAAAGAAAAGAGAAGTTCAACAGTGCTATGACGCCATTCTAAAACAGCTTTGATTTACATAAAATACTACAGGAGGAGGTCTGGATACAGTTTTCTAAATCATAAAAGCAAAGCCGTTCGCAAGATGCAAGAATTTACCCTCATGTGATTAATACAGGATTATTTAAATTGACTTAAATATCACATTTAGGGTGAAAACGTGGAATTGCATATGCATTTCGCTGTATACTTACTGTTATAACCAAGGCTGTTACACCCACTTACATTTGCTCTGAAATCATTAATAACCAGCAACAATATTTTCCCCAACTGCAACAGTAAACTTTTTTTCTGCTGGCTTACAAAACTATTAAACACTATTACTGTCCATCATAATATTTTGGTGCCTAATTTCATTTAAGTCATATACAAATCTAAATGAAAGCTACAATGCATTATTGAACACAATAATTAGCAGTTATTAGCATCTGTCAAATTTGGGCTTGCCAAATTTGCATATATCTCAATTAAAATTCTATAAAAACAGAAATTTCACCACATCTTGATTAATATATCAAAGGACTAGTTTTTCAGGTTGATCAGGCAAAACATATAATTATACAATTACAAAATGACTTCTAATAAAAGTGCAACACCTACTTGTACAGTGTGGACAGTGTATATCTTTTTGAGATTTGATTCACACTCTGCTGCCGTTGTACCTGGTAATGACCTTGAAGACATAAAGAATTTAAAAGAATTACAAAATGCACACTAATAAATACATTTAAAAGAATAATTCACTTAAAAATAAAAATTCTGTCATCATTTACTCGCCCTCATTTCATTCCAAACCTGACTCTCCGTCTTCTGGGGAACAAAGTTGAATTTCTTAGTAATATAATCAAAAAGAGTGGCCAAGATAATGAAAGTGAATGTGAACTGTTGCTGTAAAGCTTCAAGCTTGCTTGAAGTGCTGTGTTTTTTGTCATTTTGAAGCTTGACAGCTTCATATTATATGATCAAAAACAATCGAGACATTCTTCGGAAATTCCCCTTTTGTGTTGGGCAAAGGAATATCATACAATTTTGCAATGACATGAGGGTGAGTAAATAAAGAGAGATTTTTGGGTGAACTATACCTTTAAACAAGACATTTTTGCACTACACTAAGCTTGGCACATCATCTATATCGCTGCCATAAACCATATATTCATAGGGGTGTTATCTCCGTCTTATGTCATGTGCAATTTAGTGCTTCTGATCATGCCATGAGACACAGAACACAAGCATTTCACAATCGTTATGGCAACCAAATGTCAGTCTGACGGTAAACAGGACTTCAACCCTTTGAAAATCATTACCAAAAAACTGAAGAGAGAATTTTAAGCAAGAGAAGCTTAAGGAAAAAGCAGCCTGAGTAAAAGTATATATATATAGCTTATTAATATCATTACATTGGTTATATATCAGTTTTAAAATCACATGCAAATGAACAATCAACTAATCAACTTAGAAGTGGTAATTTCACAATTTAACTTATTCTGCACTAACCGTGTCCTACATTTTAAAAACGCCAACAAAACTTAAATGGGCTCCTGACAAAGCCTTGAGGTACACCCTTACCATATTACTCTGTTTACAGAGCTTCAGAAAGAACATGAAATCTGATATTAAATAACAACCATGACCTACAGGTGACTCGACCTACTTTCCTAAGTTATTATATCAGCTCTGCGTTATGACACTCTTAATTTAATCTTACAAACACTTAATACAGGCGCCTGAGCCATTTACTAGTGTTAGCTGTGCTCGTTTAGAAACTGAAAATAGTAAGGTTAGCTATAAAAAGAGAAATACCAATCTTGGGCCTTTGTTGACAGGCTTGTGGATATAGAAAGTCCTTAATGCTTAATAACAGTAATATACCAAGATCAGCCTACCGATCCAGCCAGAAGGTCCACGGGGAGTGCAGCGGCAGCGAGGTGCCGTCCTCGATGTGGTTGGTGATGTTTTCCAGCTCTCTCTCGTCGATGTGGATGTCGTTTTCTGTTGAGTTCACAGGGCTGCTTTGTCTCGCCGTGTTCAGCTGCAGGTTTGGGGCTGCAGGAACCGCCATTTTTGCTTTATTACCGCTAATCGATGTGTGAGTGTTTTGCTGGGAGATCTATAATAATCTCCACATCCACAGATAGGCAGATTATTGATGCTGACTCATTTGCCGTTCGGCCGGCTGGACTTGCCGCGTCACCGACACAACAACAACAACAACAACAACAACAACAACAACAACAACAACAACAACAACAACAACAACAACAACAACAACAACA